CCTAAGCACCGGGCCTAGCCCCAGCACACCTCTGTGTGCCCTTCTGCCCTCTGCAGCGCTGAATTCATCCCTGTGTTCATCATCCATGTCAACTGATGCCAGAGCAACAGCACAAAGGGTTCGCGCAGGGATGCTGAGGGGATGTGGTCTCCAGACGAGCAAATGCAGGGAGGGAGAGAGCCCCTTTTCTGTCTCAGTCTGGAACCTGCCCCCTCCTGCTCCTTCCATGGAAATACCTAATTATGCATTATCTTTTTTTCTTCTCCTTTCCTTTTTTTTTTTTTTTTTTAATTGTTATTCTTAAGGACACTGGTAAGCACAGGTTGGGCTTGCTGACCCAGAATTCTCCCAGCCTTCGGGAGAAAGAGGGATGGGAAAGAAATAGTCCGAACCCTCATCTGCTCGGTTCCCCTCTTTCTTCCTGGAGTTGCCTGCTACCTGATGAGGAGCTGGAGGGGCAGCTGTGTCCCTTCCCGTAAGCCCCTCCTCAGCTCTGGTGGCTTCAGGGAGAGAGCAGACACTGTGCAAAAGGGGCTCATCTCACCACAGCCGTGGGCACCGCGGGGTGGGGTGCTGGACCTGCCAAGTTCCTTGGTCTGGAAACCTTCACCCCTCCTTTCTTTCTTTCTCAAAAACGAGTTGGACTTAAATGTTCTTGGAGATCAGAGGAAGGGAAAGGGCATCGTTACTATTGACTTTTTAATTATTTTTGTTTTAAAGCAAAGGGATGTTCCTCCTAACTAGGTGTCACAGGCACATCTGGGTGAGGTGCAGAGATGAGAAGTCTGCTCTGTAGGGAACACATCTGTGGGATCACACAAAAGTCTGAAGGTGCTTCCCTGCTTGGCTGCAGGCAAGGGGGAGAGAGGAACTTGGGATCAAATTATTTTTGTTCAGGGAAGGGGGGTGGGTTGGGTGTTTGGGTTTTGGTTTTTTTTTAACGCAGGGGTTGTGGGGTGGCAAAACCAAACAACAAGAAACCACTTACATTCCTTCAGCCTGCCCACCCCCAGGGTGACAAAGTGGTGGCTGCAAGTGTAGGTTAGCAGATTTTGGGTCTGTTTTTCTCCCAGCCTGGCCCCAGGTGTGTGAAAGGAGGTGCCTGCTCTGCTTCTGCGGTGCCCAACCTCAGGGAGCAGTGCAAGAAATGCTGTGCCTGTGTGCTCACCTTGCAAGGTGAAAACACAAGGTCTAATTGTGCTTTGATGTTTGATGTGGGTGTGTTTGGAGCCAGCTGATGTTGAAGAGGCAGAGGGTTCATGCACCCGAGCAAGGAGCTGTTTGTGTGTACATGGTTGTGGGGTCGAGTCCTCTGGATCATACAAACTCATCATCCTTTTTGCTTCTGGGTGGTGATCGTTGCTGGGTGGCTGGGGGCAAATCCACACCTACAACCCACTGTGTCAAAGGGACACTTCCCCAGCTAGCATCACTTGCCAGAGGGCTTCCTCGTTTCAGTACTCTTTTGGGCTGTGTAATTAATTCTAGCTTAAATGGTATTGTGAGATCTACCAACCCAGTGTGATCTTCTCCATTATTTATTCCATTTGGTGCAATCCGACCTGACTTGGTGTTTAAATTAAACTGGTTGAATTAACTTTTCATTCCTTCTTTTTGCTTTGTTCTCCAGGCACTTGCTTGGTGTTTGTGTTTCAAATGTATATTTAAATTAATTAAAAAAAAAAAAAAAATCCCTGTTTTTAATGTTTAAATGAAACCCACCTCTGTTTCAGTGTTCTTGGGTTAGGTTTTTGCAAGACCTCTATATTGAGGGCCTTCTTCCTTAATGCATCCTTTTTCTCTTCAAATAAGTGGTTCTTTGGCTGATTTGTTACTTGTCAGTTTGCATATGTGAATAATTTTCTTTTTCTTTCTTTTTTTCTTAATGGCTTCTTCGTGTATCTAGGAAGGTGTCTGTGCAAAGACGGTGATAGATGCCTGTCCTGTGTAATGCTGCGATGCTGCTCTTGCTCTGCATTTCCCTTGGGTAGATTAGAAGAGAAAGGTTTTTTTGGGGGGCGGATGGTTTGGGGTTTTTTTGGGTGCCCTGGTCCTTGCTGCTTGGTGATTTACACAAAATCTTGGGTCATAAAAGTAGTGGGGTTTCTGCTTGCGCTTCTGCCTGCAAGGATTGCCTCTAAAGCTGGGTGACTTGCGGCTGCAGAGGGGTGTGTGGGGTGCAGGTTTGTATTGTGGGGTTATGTTCGGAGGAAAACTTGGTGTAGTGAAGGGCTGAGTTCCAGGGAAAGCGCTCCTTGTCCTTTTGAATACTTTTAAAAACCTCTTTGTAAAACAGGCTCATCCTCCATGTTGGAGCTGGTGACCTGAAAGGGGCACATTTTTTAGCTGCTAGGATGTGTCCGTGAGCCAGGAGGACATGGGGTTGTGTCAGGGGATAGTCACCGTGGCCCTGTGGGAGTCCCCCAGGCAAGGAGGAGTTTAAACTGGGAGAATACCTGTCATCTTAATCCTGGCTTAACAGAAACCTCCAAGCATTGATTGCAGTATTGAGGAATAAAAGTAGCTAAATACACTTGGAGAAACTCATCTCTGCTCCCCTCCCTGTGGGTGCCACTTGTCCCTGGGGCAGGGGGCAACAGCTAGCATAGGCTGAACTCCTTGTGCATCCTACCCCATCCCTCTGGCAAAGGTCCACTGAGCCCAAGGCCCTTTGCAGTCATACCTTGTCCCGTGTTAACGTTGTCCCTTGCTCCTGCCCTGACCATGATTCTTGTATCTCCAGTTTGGGGTTTGTGCTGTTTACTGCTCTTAATTACAGTTTGGTGGAGGTGCTGTACACTCTGTCATAGGTTTAGGTAGGTGGGTCGGTTTCGGCTGGGGGAATTACCTGCAACACAATGAGAAAAATTCCCAAATCCCTGTGGGGAAATTCCTACAAAGCACAGGGGAAATTCTCTGGCAACCGGTAGGGGAATTCCCAGGATCGTAGAATCATAGAATGGTTCACGTTGGAAAGAGCCTTAAGATCATCTAGTTCCAAGTGCGCTGCCATGGGCAGGGACACCTCACCCTAGACCATGTCGCCCAAGGCTCTGTCCAGCCTGGCCTTGAACACTGCCAGGGATGGAGCATTTACCACTTTTTTGGGCAACCTGTTCCAGTGCCCCATCACCCTCACTGTAAAGAACTTCTTCCCTGGATCTAACCTGAACTTCCCCTGTTTAAGTATGAACTCGTTACCCTTTGTCCTGTCACTGCAGTCCCTGATGAAGAGTCCCTCTCTGGCATCCTTTTAGGCCCCCTTCAGATGTTGGAAGGCTGCTATGAGGTCTCCACGCAGACTTCTCTTCTCCAGGCTGAACAGCCCCAACTTTCTCAGCCTGTCTTCGTATGGGAGGTGCTCCAGCCCCCTTACCATCCCTTTGGCCTTCCCTGGACTTGCTCCAACAGCTCCATGTCCTTTTTATGTTGAGGACACCAGAACTGGACACAATACTCCAAGTGAGGTCTCACAAGAGCAGAGTAGAGGGGCAGGATCGCCTCCTTCGACCTGCTGGTCATGCTTCTTTTGTTGCAGCCCAGGATACAGCTGGTTTCTTGGCTGCCAA